TGGGTAGGAGGGGCTCGGGGGTTATGTGACTGGATGGGCATGGCCAACTTAATGTCACTCATGTCCATGGGTGCTTCACCTTAGCTGTTACAATGTCATAAGGGTTAACCGGAGAGGCAGTATCTGTAAGCAGAGCAATAAAGATTAGGCTACAAACAACACCAGAATGTTTCCTTCCTGCCTTCCTTGCAGGATTAGCCCTGTAAAGTGGGGGGAAACAAAATGAGATTTCTTCCAACAACCGGTTCTCCGAACTGCTTAGAAAGTTACCAACCGGTTCTCCCGAATAGGTGCGAACTGGCTGAATCCCACCACTGCCTGTAGGGGAATATATTTGTGCTTGGTGAAAACTTTTTTTATCTGCTGCCACTTAAAAACATGTCTCAGTGAGAAGCACAAGTTATTCAAGTTGATGTCCTGAAAGCTGGGGAGATCTAGAAGTGACCTCCAGTTACATTGAATGACAGCTTTCTTAATTCTTACCCATCGTTAGGAAAGCCTCTGGAGTGGTGTGGTGGCCTAGAGGTGGAGGCCGTGAGTTCTATCCTAGGTAGAGGCAGATATTTCTCTCTCTGGCCACACTGAGAATATATACAGTATATGCTGAACAAAACTCCACATTGGCAACAGGGAGTGCATCCAGCCAGTAAAACACTCAGCTAGCTCCATTGCCCAGACTCCACCCCACAAGGGATTATGGGGTTGTAAAATGGAGATAATGATGATGATTAGGAAAGCCTACAATAGTTGAAAAGACTTAACATATGGTACCAAATGCTCAGAACACCAATCCTGCCATCCCATCTTCTTGATGGAAGATTGTGAGTAAAAGACTGGGCGGCCATCAATTGACCCATAAATCTGGATTCCTGCACTTACACAGCCTTACTCAAATGTGTATTTCTGTAGTGTTTGGAAAGGCAAAGCAGAACCTTATCTGATGAGCTTCTGATGAGAGTCCTTTTGGTGGCCATTATGTCACGCTACCATTTGTAGTGGAAGCACATAAGCAGACAAAGCAACGATAAATTGAACAAATGATAAATAGCACATACATACGTACATGATGGTCCAAAGAATAAGCTATCTGAAGTTAGTGTGACTGCTATTGTATACTTGTTTAGTTTTATCCTGGCAAGATGATGGATACAGGTGATTATTCTTTGTCCTTTCTCTTCAAGTTCAAAACAACTCTGTCCATTCAGAGACAAAGCTGAGTCAGGCACCTCCTTCCCATTGTCAGATCGGAGAGTTGGGTTATCTAACCCAATTTCACCTGTGCTATATTTGCCAACTTTAGCCTATAAGGCCGCCAGTTAGAAATTCTGGGATTTTAATGAGTTCCTACATTAAGTACATTAAGGACGTGGTGGTTCAGTGGCTAAGATGCTGAGCTTGTCGATCAGAAAGGTCGGAACTTCGGCGGTTCGAATCCCAAGCACCGCGTAACAGAGTGAGCTCCCATTACTTGTCCCAGCTTCTGCCAACCTAGCAGTTCGAAAGCAGGTAGAAAAATAGGGACCACCTTTGGTGGGAAGGGAACAGCGTTCCGTGTGCCTTCAGCATTTAGTCATGCCAGCCAAATGACCACGGAGACATCTTCGGACAGTGCTGGCTCTTTGGCTTTGAAACAGAGATGAGCACCACCCCCTAGAGTCGGGAACGACTAGCACATAATATGCGAGGGGAACCTTTACCTTAAGTACATTAATTCTATGCCAATGGTTCTTGCTAGGTCTGATCCCTGGAGAAGAGAAAATGCCAAGGCACATGATTCAATCTTGGCTCAATCAAATCTAATTTATTGGAACAAGATAAATCGGTTTTTCTTTTCCAATGTGTCATCGGTTATGAATCAGGTAGATTGCTCACTGAGAAATAAACGAAATCCCTCCCCTCGGATGACTCCTATTTTTTTCCCATTGTCCTTGCATCTGGATTTAATGTTAGGTTCCTTTCCCCCCCATAATAACACTCCCACCTTTCTAAGACTTGCTGCGGTTTTAGTGGCAACTCTAGGCTTGCACACCTGTACACCCTTTGACTGAAACCATCTCCCAGAAATTGCATTTGAGTCACTGTTCTCCTCTCCACAGGTGATGCACTGGGACGGCTCCATGTTTCGAGATGTCCAGCAGATGCCTTCCCGTGGCTCCATGGTCTTCCAACCGCTGAGCATCTCCGGATATCGCTACGCCTTCCTTGGCAACGACTACTCCTTCAGCAAAGTCTACCGCTATGACCCCATCACTGGCCTCTTCCAGCACTTCCAGGAGCTCAACACCCAGGCCCCGCGCTCCTTTGCCCACCTCAACGTTGACAAGCAAGACTTCCTGATTGCCTCCAGCTTCAAGGGCAAGACACACATTTACCGCCACCTCATCATTGACCTGAGTGCCTGAGCCCAGCGACAGTGGGGCTGGTGGGGGAGGGCATTGATCGCAGGTAGGAGGCAGGTACCGCAGGGAGAAGCAGCCTAGGAGAAGACCGCTGGCTCCCGGGAAGTGCAGTACCAGAGGCATCCACTAGGGGGACACCAGATGCTGTTGAGGATGCACTTCTCCAATGGCCGGAGATAACAGCTGGCCAGCAGGTGGGAGCTGGGCGACTTAAGAGCCATAATCAATCACTAGCAAATGCAACCGGAGTGGGAGCAGAAGCCAGCAGGTTTTTTGTTTCCTTCCGACCTGCCAAATGATGATAAACTGAGGCTGCCGTCGCCGGAAAGGGCAGTTTTACAGTGGGGTTAAGCCAGGAAACCCCTCACCAACAAGACACTTGGCTTTATAGGGAGGTGAATCCTCTCCAGAATTCTCTCTGAATTTCCCTTCTTCCCTCTCCCCCTCCCCACCCTAACAAGGATGAGGTTGATTCGGTTGGATTTTCTTCTTCCCTTTTTAATGGATTCCTGGAAACATTTTTTCCCCCCTTTTGCTTATTTTGCCTGCTTGCTTGTACGGCTCTGTTTTCTTTTGAAAACATTTCTTTTTTAAAAAAAAAATTGTGCAATCCTGCATCAGATAACTGTAACCTATGCGTGCCTGCTCAAAACACCAACGTACGGCTGAATTCACACAATGCGGACAGAGCCATGTAGAAGGGAGTTGATCGCTTGGGATTCAGGGGTTTTTTTGATGGGGGAGATCTTAATCTAGTGTGGAAACCAGGCCACGGTGTTAAGTTATCATATGAGGGGGTTTTTTGGGGGGGGGGAGAGTTGGCTATCCCAAATCATGGGCCCAAAACGTTGTGTGAACTCAGCCAAAGAATCTTGGAACCCCTTTAAATGTCTTATGATATAAGCTTTGTATGTTATACTTGAGCTGCGGTGGCGCAGTGGCTAGAGTGCAGTACTGCAGGCTACTTCTGCCGGCTGCCGGCTGCCTGAAATTTGGCGGTTCGAATCTCACCAGGCTCCAGGTTGACTCAGCCTTCCATCCTTCCGAGGTGGGTAAAATGAGGACCCAGATTGTTGGGGGCAATAAGCTGACTCTGTAAACCAGTTAAAGGGGGGTGTAAAGCACTCTAAAGCGGTGTATAAGTCTAAGTGCTGTTGCTACTTCCCTAGGAATAAGTCCCGTTGATCTCAACTGGGATTAGCAGCCCAAGCTGTTAACTGGTCTGCCTCCCACTCCGTCCGACTAGAAGCCTGTCTCAACCTTTCACTGAGATAGGCTGCATTTTATGGTGAACATTTTAATGCGTTCAGCAGATGTTTTTTCCAAAGCAGATCTACATCAAGTAATGTTACAGTCTGCTGGTTGCACCCAGTACATTTTAATGGCTGTTTTCTATTCCCCAGTTTAAGGATATATAAACATACACAATGTTCACCATCAAATTATGTCAGGGAGAGACATGACCGAAGCACAAGCTTAGCATTAAGCACACAAGGAGTCCCATGAATTCTCGATCAACCGGAGGAGGACTTTGGAGGCGGGGGGGGGGAGAACAAAGTAACATAAGAGGCGCATGGATTCATGGACAGAAGGGGCAGTTGGGAGCCATTCTGGACAGAACTGTTAGCTGAAACAGAGGTGGACTTGCAAGGAATACAGTCCGGCATTTATTTTTCAAACCGTAAACAGCCGTCTTGTTATTCAGAGTCATCAAATCTCCTCCTAGGAGTGGAGTTACTCTATTGTACACTTTCCCCTCGCTGGACTGGGAGAGACACAGCTCAGGCAGGAAATACACCACGGGAGGTTTCTTCAGAAGGATACGTTGATTTCCTCTATGGGCTTCCCTTCGCGATGCGGCATCCCACACACAATGCATTGTAAATAAAAGTCAATATATTGTTTGTGGGCTTGTGAGTGTTTGGACTTGTCTCCACGTATCCAGATGCTCAAGGAAGCTACTCAGAGCCAAAGGGTAGTGGGGAGGAGGATTCCCCTGTCCTTAAAACACGAGCAAAACCTACAATCCTTTTCATACAAGCTCTTTGCAACAGTCAAAGCACCGAAACACCAAATCGAAAAAAGGTACTATAGCTATTGGACATATTATGTTAAACCACCATTTCTTTGACTAGGATTTATTGAATAAGCCGCCATTGACAGGGTTCACCCAGAAGGGTGATCCAGAAAGTGAGCAAGGCATGTTCTCAGTGGTACAGAATGAAGCACAGATCGTTGTTGTGACCCCCCAGCGGCCAACAAAGCTGGCAGCAGAGTCGGACAGTGAGGAGGTTGGGGAAGAACAGGGGCCAGTCCTAGGGGCTGAGGAAAACTCAGATGAGGGCTCTGCATCAGAGGCAGAGAGGGAACTAGACAGCAGTGAGGCAGAGGAACAGCTGGAGCCTGTTCCCAGTGTGCGCCTGTGCAGAGCTGCCAGAAGACAAGAACAACTAAGAAAGCAGGGTCGACTTAGGAGTAAAGCAAAACCTTGGAGGTGATTGGCCCCTCCCAAAGGAAACAAAAGAGGAGTGAGTGTGGAGGGGGCTTTTTGCAGGAAACAATTTGTTCCTTCGGTCATTTCAAAAGTGGAAAGTTCTGTTTGTGACTACAAGAGACTCAGAGCCAAGTTTTGCCTTGCCCTGCATTTGGAAACTAGTTATTTGGCAGCTCTCCAAATGAGATAAGGTTCGTGTTGATAAACATTCCTCTGAAAGACTCTTTGCTAAGCCTTGCTGACTGAATGAAAGAAATTCACAGTCGTGTAAATAAAAGAGGTTTTACCGGGACCAAGACTCTGCTTCTTGCTTTTTAAGGAAGCCTGGGTCAGAACAGTAGTCCTCAACTTATAACTATTCATTTAGTGACCGTTTGAAGCTTACAATGAAAAAAAGTGACCTAGGGCAGTTTTCACAAGACCACTGCAGCATCCCCATGGTCATGTGATTAACAATTGGGCACTTGTCAACTGGAATGTATTTATGATAGATGCTGTATCCTGGGATCATGTGATCCTCCGTTTGTAAACTTCCCAGCCAGGTTCCGACATGCAAAATCAATGGGGGAAGCTAGCGTCACTTAGTGACTATATGATTCACTTAACAACCACAGTGATTTGCTTAAAAGCTGTGAAAAAAATAAAATGGCACAAAGCTCACTTAACAACTGCCGTGCTTAAGTATGGGCTCAGTTGTGGCCACAAGTCAAGGACTAGTGGAACAAGTCAACCGAGGTAGCGTTGTTTCTGATTTTCTGCATAGTGCAACCCAGCTCTTGTTCAGTTAATAAATCAGAGTTAAGCCAACCACTGCCCACAAAGTAGATCTCTATCATTCTGGTGGCCGAGCAATCCTATTTCAGCATAAAATTGTTCATATATTGGGGGCATTGTTCCTTTTTAACCTGGCAGTGAGATTTTATTTCACAAAAGCAATGCAAGAACAAAAGGCAACAAAAGAAGTCGGTGGCTTATTGGTCAGGCGGAGGGCCGTTTCACCGAGAACAGTCAGGGCCGGTGGTATCATGGGAAGAAGCTCCATTCAGCACTCGCTGGCTACTAGAAGACACGGGTGAGAA